TGTTGTTGTTGTTTTAATAGTTACAATACTCCGTTTCTCCTCTTTTGGAAAAAGGGGTATACTTTGAGTGTGTATCTGTAGAAACATATATATTTCATCAAAAACAAATTTAGTTTAGTTTTAGAATTCCCGTATACCTCTTAAGATAATTGACATGTAAACACCACAGGTGCCGGCTTCTTCCAAAAATTTTCAAAGGAGTCTTACACTTCATTCTGTATCCTAGGCGCCTAACACAGCATGAACAGCTACTAACCCTCAGTTGCTCTTACAGATTAGTTAATTGTTGGATTCGGAGCCCATAGGCTTGCTTTGAATTTCTACCAAGGCTTCCCTTGTGGATTTCATGCAGAAGTCCTTCTCCTTATTGTGTGCCTTTTGTGTAGATCATTTTGCTTGGAAATTAGCAAACTGTTTAATTCCAAAGAGCGCTGAACCTTAGCTCCTTCTCCATTTAGCATGAGGACTGCGGTTCTTCTAGCTGCCGTCCTGGAGCACACGCTGGACTGGATTGGGGGCCTGGAGCAGCAGTGCCCTTAGGCTAAGTTTCACTGTCCAAGGGCAGAGATTCTGGGGCCTCCCAGAACATCTGCATGAGAAGCACACATCTGGATGCATGTGCTTTGGTATGTAGACCCTGCATCTAGATGACTAGTTGGGAATTCTACTTTTCTTCCAGAAGCCTGTTTCTGGAGATCTTTCAGGTGTTTTCTCCTCACAGCTACTCAAAAGCGTCATGGAAATCATGACATTTTCTTTCTTTCTTTGTTGCTGTTGGGGGTGGGGGGTGTGGTTAGGAGATAAGTAGATGGCTCTTAATATTGTCATCAGGTTTTTTAAAGCCCTTTGAAAAGGATTTAAATATGCTTCTTTAAGTTTCTGAACTGCAAAAATATTTCTTTTCTGCTTCAATTATGAAATTTGAAATTGTGATTGAAGGAGATGAATGGTGATTATATTATGCTTACGAAGGGGAATTCTGACAAAAGTGCTATCTCCCCCGTCTGCCTTTGGTGAAGATTATTTTTAAGTCCTCACTCATGCTGGCTTTCCTTGCGGACTTGTTTATATTCGCAGAGTATAAAAATACAGTAGTCGGGAAACTCTTCTCAGGGAGTCTGCTATGAGCTCTTGTTGGAGGAGTTCTTTCTAAATGGACTCTGGTATCATTTTAGCACACATTGTTTGGTGAAACCTGAGCTGCCCAGGGAAATTAGAGCAGTTAATTTAATATCATGAATGTTTTGGGGCTTCCAGACTTAGTCACAGGCAGGAGAGTGTAAATCAAATTGAGTTTTCTGTATAGAGTAGACGACGAAAGTCGCCTCCAAAAAAAACCAGCCAAACTTCCCTCCATCCACTGCCTTCCCGCTCCTCATCTTCACCACAGAAATCTCAGGTTATTCCAAGCATCCTCTCCAAATACTCCCCCGGCAGAGGTCTGTGTGGCAGAAAGCTCCCCGTGTAGTCAGAGAAGGAATGCTCCATCACATAGGGCCATGGCCAGGACATCATAGCTCATGGCTTGAACCCCGCCCTGTCATACCTTCAGTAGAAGGACTCACCGTGCAACCAAGTATGGCCAGCTGGGAAGTCCCTGGCACTGTGCTAGGCACCAGGGCAGGTCATTTTGTGTGATAAAAATGGATTCAGTATCTGTGAAATATACCTCTTACTGCCGGGGGAAAATAGAAAGATCGGGTATCCCAAGACTTGCTGATTCTTTGAGTTCTGCGTGCTCCCATATCCAGACTTCCTTCTGCACATTCATGCCTCCCGAGCAACGGAGTATGGAGTGAGCAATGGGCTTTTTTAATTTGTTTTTGGGAGGGCCTTTGAAAGAGTCCTTACAAAGCTGCAAAATGGACCTTTGACCCAAGAGCTCAGAACGCAGTTCAGCAGCCTCCATCTACCCTCAGAAGCAAACTGCTAAGTCAGAGGCTTTGGCCTTAATTCCAGAAGGTTCACCGTGCGTTTGGTAGTGCCCCACTCCAAACAACTGTCATGGGATGCTGGGCTTGCATTGATTTCGCATCCCCCACCCCGTGCTCGGGGACTAACTTTTGTGTATCTGAGATGTGATTTTGAAAGAAAAAGCAACCTTGTCTGAGGAAAGTATGTATTTACTTTGCTTTAGGGGCCTAGCTTATTTGCATGAAATATCAGGATTGATTGCAGACAATTAATGACCTTTACCGAACACTCTGATGCTCAGTGCCATGAAGATATTAATAGCTGGGCCATGAAGCAACTCTTGGGTTTTCCTTTGCTTGACATGCTCCTCCTAGGCCTCGTACCCCCGAAGACTTCCCTGATAAACTACGCGTATGGGAAATGACCGACGACCGAGGCCAGGGTACTGTTTATCTGTGGGTAGAGTAAAAGGAGACAATCGTGGTTATAATAAATGTACACCACACTTCTGCATAAATATTTGAAATTTTGATACATTTCATACATTCCAAGAGCGTCTATGAAAATTCACCCACAGAGACGCTTCTGTTACTGCTCAGTTTTCCTCATTACTAATATACAACCAGGTGTCAGCTTGTACCGCCCAGTGAGCCTGTTTGAACATCACAGAACTGATCACGTAGGAGACCTTCCTGCTTTTAGCCTTATAGCGGGCAAGTCCCTTCCTGAGACTCTGTTCCCGCTGCTCCAGTAATCCCCGGGCAGGACTCTGATGGAACGTTGAACAGTGGGCTTGGTTTGCCATCTTTCACACCTCTCCTTTCCTCCACTCTTTTAATCTCTTTCTACCTCTTCATTCTTTCCCTTCTTTCTATGAATTTCTCTTCTCCCCTGCAAACCGCACTCTTTCCACGTAACATTCTGTACATTTTTTGTTTCTCATGCTCGAAAAGAAAAGCAACAGGAAGCATCTCACAAATCCAGCAAATAAATAATATTCTAATAGCAAGGACCTCTCTGAAATGTCTGTCCAGAAGCAGATGCACCACAAACGGCCATCGTTGTACACCACCCCAGACTTCTCAGTCTGATGATTTAGATACTTTTGTACTTAGGTGGATGGGGCCATTTTTGCCGAATTCAGCATATTTATTGAAGAATTTCTTGGAGCCAAAAGCCAACTCCATTGCATTTTGCTTGGTAAGGTTTGGTGGCCTTCATGTAGGGCAGGCGTTGTTGATCATCTGCCCTTAAACTGATGATAAATCTAGAAACCAGGCAGCAGGACTAGGCTGCCTTAATAGAACCTTTGCAGGAAATCCGCAGCCGCAGTACTTACAGGAAATCTTGGGAAAGGATATTCAGCAAACTCATGTTAAGAAAGACTCGGGAAGAATTCCGGGTAGCGAGGACACTGGGAAGTGGGCATCAGTAAGAACTTTGAATTCTAGATGTAGAAGTTGTCCACCTAAAGAGTGTTTCTGCTTCTTGTGATACCCATTTGTTGCTTATTTTTAAACCCCAAATGTCTAAATCTTGTATCAGGGGCATTTATGGAGATGATTTGGTTCCCCATAATATCGTGGCAGAGCCCATCTGTTGTGACACACGACATCATTCTGATTGTACGTGTTTCATTCATGTGCCTTTACAGAAATCCTATATCTATCTGGTTTCTCGATGATGATAGTATTTTAAGTTTAATTCCACCTTCCTGCAGCAGAATATAAAACCCTCCGTGAGGGTTACTGAACGTATTGTCGACACATCTTTTGCACAGAGTTGTTGATGTAGATTAATACAAATCACAAATGAAAATTCCAGCATCAGGAAATCCTTTCACCTGAGAGGGGCTGATTTTTTTCTGAGACAAAAGAAAAAAAGAAGTCAATAAGGGAGTTTTTTAGGACAGCCGTACTTATTTCGGCCATTCGCCCCAAAGACCGTGGTGTGTTCTGCACACAAAATACAACAGACAATCTGGTGCCAATAAACGTTTTCTGTATTACCATCCTTTATTTTAGAAATCAAATGACTAATATGTAATGTGAGATTTGAGTTGGAGTGTGGTTGCGACTTACACTTAAGACCTATTCAGATTTAGGGATAATGGTATATATTCATTATCTTTCAACTAAAATACCTCAGTCCCCAATTAGAATGTATATTAGTCAAGGCATCCTTTTAAGAGACATTATTTTCATGCTCATAAGATGGAAAGGGAAATAAAAAAGGAGTCCCGAAATAGGTGCATTTAATTCTCCCCAATTTAAATTTAAGTGGTACATCTTTAAGGCAATAACAATATTCCTTTTCTTCCCCACCAGGAATGCTTCCATCAATGGATTTCTTTAATGTTGATGGTGGTTTGGTGCAGTTTGAGGGGCTCTGCAGTTAGTCAGAAAATGCTTCAATAGAATGACCTACCAGATGGACCCCATAACAAAGCACAGAGGCATCAAACCACCACAGACATTTGGTGCTTAGAATAATAAAAAGACTATAAAATTAGATTAGTTGAGTCTAATTTGGAATCGGTATATTCCCCATGCACCCTCGCTGCTCTTGGGCAGATAAAGCCTTGAGATTTAGCACTGTGTCAGAGCAGAAGACTGCAACTTCCAGTAAAGGGAGACGAGGGAGAGGGAGAGAGGGAAAAAAGCATTCTGGGAGGTCGCGGAGGGCAGAGCAGTGACCTCCAATGATTTACAGGCCTTTAGCTTAATGAAATTGTTTCAGTGACATGACGGTAAGAGCTCGTAATGGATTGGATGCCCTAATGTAATGAAATTACTCCCTTCTGCCTAAAAAAAAAAAAAAAAAAAAAAAATGCGCAATTAATATTTACTGAGACCTGACAGCCTTTGGTGCGCTCGTCTGTGTAGTTCTCTCAAACAGTCAGAGAGCAGAGACGGAGCAGCGTGGCAGACAGGCTGGCTCTGCGCGAGCTCCTGGCGGGGACGAGCAGACCCTGCCAGGGGTGGAGGGACAGGCACTCGGGTGGCTGGGGACGCCCGGCCCGGGCCACCCGGCTCCTCGGCGCTGCCCCCACTCAGCCTTCACGCCCTCCCCTTGCTTTTCCACAGGCAACTGGACAACAACCACATCAGCTGCATTGAAGATGGAGCCTTCCGGGCGCTGCGCGATCTGGAGATCCTGTGAGTTGATTTTGCGACCGGTGCTGCCTTGTGTGCGTGTGCGTGTGCGCGTGTGTGTGTGTGTGTGTGTGTGTGTGTGTGTCTCTGTGAGGAGGAGTGAGGGGGCGTGTGTGTGCAGGGGGGTCTGTGTGGATTGCATTTCTGTGTCTTCTGCTGCAGTGCTATTAAAATTGGGAACCGGGAGATCCCTCTGGCTCACATTGGCCAAAGTGTTTGTAGGCAGCAAAGTGTGATTTTCTCACCTCCCGCAAACTGGGGTTCCTGCTAATTAAGTCGCAATTGAGTCCTTTCTCCCCCCCCCCGTGCTCCCGCGGTATTTGTTGCTGGGTGGAACAGATGGGCCGGAATAGCCCCCCGGCGCCTGCCGGGGTGTTCAAGGAGAGTCTGTTTGAGTGTGAGCATGGGGAGAGACAGGTTACAGGTCTGGGAGATGCGAGAGGGGACAGCACCAAGGGGTCAGTTGGAATCACCCAGGATCACAAAGGGACCTTGGCACGGGGCAGGGGGGATGCCAAACAGCCTGGTAAAGTCTAGTCATTGCCATTGCTCCTGGGATCTCGCCTCGGGTTTCAGTGCAAACTTTAAGCAGTAATCTTAAAGTGGCAGGGTGGGGGAGAGATGAGAGGAGGTATAATTCCCCCACCCCCCCATACCTTGTGTAGCTGCCTTCCTGTGTTCTGGATTTTCCAGTGGTTCCAACCTGATTTCCAAGGGTGGGTTGGGGGTGGAATTCAGCTAGGAATCATCCTGGGGTCACTCAAACTAAAGTTAAATTGTGTAAGAAAACATTTTGATTGTTGTCACTCAAAGCAGCACTTCCAGTGGTCCCTGATTTGGAGAAACCTAGAAAGGAAGGCAATAAAGCCTAGTAGAACTTGTGTCAGGAGATGTGTGGTTCAGTCCTGACTCAGCCCCTAATTGGCTGTGTGACCTTGGGCAAGTCCCTTCCGCACTCAGAGTCTCGGTTTTCCCGTTTGGAAAGTGAAGGGTTTGTTGCTGTAACTTGCGGATGGCTTCCCCTTTCCAAATTCTGTAATTGCTTGGTTCTAAAAATAGTTCTGATGGTACAGTTCTATCCAGTGAATGATAGGGTAGGATTTGTTCAGCATCCCCCTGAAAAAAAAAAAAAAAAAAAAAAACCTACCTAATCACCAGGTTATATATCTCTGACTTCCAGAGGAATGAATAAATGTCGAACCAATGACAGAATGGATTTATTAAAATGTCCCTTTCTTTTCACCTGGCCCCCCAGACAGTGGGCACGGGTTGGAGAAAGCCTCTCCACGTTGTGTGAGAGGAAGGTGATTCCAAGAGGAATCACAGGAAATAAAAGGGGATGCTGATGCTGCAAGGTTGCAAGGTGCCGGAAATCTGATGGAAGCTGCGAATTCCCAGGACAGGAACGGCTGGACCCACAGCCAGGGAGGTCAGGCTGTCAGTCCTAAGATGGATGGTGGCTTCTCACCCCAACTCTGACCCCAAAATGGGCAACAAATGCTTGTCTGCTAGGGAGAAGATGCCAGCCCAGTTCAGTGACCCAGGATTTCTCTGATCAGGAGAGAGGGGCTAGGAAGGGTAGGTCAATTTTCCCGCCGGCAAAAGAGCATTTCTGGAGAGGGATGCAGGAGCATGTCACCCCTTTCGTCAGGAAGATGAGAGAATTCCTTGGGAAGAGACCAGGAAATGGAAATCCCCAGCTACCACAGAACAGCTGTGACAAGCTGACAGCCCGCATGTTAGCTCTCTGTACGAGGAGTGGTGGTGCCTCGTCTCACCAGGAAGGCTGTCTGGGGGAGAGGATGGGGATGTACAGTCAGACACACCTGGGCACAGTGGGACTTTGGCCAAGCTATGCAACCTCTCTGAGTCTGTTCCCTCAACTTTAAGAAGAGGTGGCTTCTGTCCCTTCCATTCCCCTAACTTCCTCCCTGTCGTGCCCTCATCCCCATCAAACCCCTGTCTGGGACAGAACTGGATTGTTCTTCTCTACCCCAGTGTTTGCTATTTTTAAAATGTTGGTATATTATAGCATGTTGGTACACCAGGTTTCTCAAACTTGAAGCTTAAAAGCCTATGGTGGGGTTTAAAAAAAAAAAGTTCTCATTCCGTATTTTTACAAAGAGATCACAGGATCTGATGAGTTTATCTTCTCAGTTCCAAACAAAGCCAGATCAATAGCTTTGTTTTAAAGACACTCTCATTTGGCTTCACATGGCTAAGTACTTAAAATTAATCATAATCATTTATTCCATGGGTTCTTAATTTCCAGCAGAGGCACGTGGCTTTGGAACCATCTATCTTAATGGTGAGCCATTCTGAATTGGCTGGAGCCGACATCTCTATTTAAAGAATCTCCCCTCCCCACCCCCAGACCTTCCAAATCTCGTCTGCACATTGACATTTTATAGCAATTCTCTGTAATCACAACTTAGGCTCCGTAAAGAATCTTGACAATGAAATAATAAATAGGAACTAAGTGAAGGCATCATATATTAACTTAATAAGTTCCTGAAAGAGAGAGGTTCAAAACATACTATCCTCAGAAAGGTCATCTTTAAGTATCCAAAGCTTTAAAAGTCTTCAAATTAAGAAGACAAAATAGAGTATTACTCTAGGTGTTTTCTCTCTGACATTAGGCATAATGAAATAAAAAAACAAGGAAAGACTCACGATAACTCCCATGGAAAGCTCCCTCAAAATTAACTTAAGGAAAGTTTGTGGACGTCAACTACTGGTGGAAATATTTCACATAGGATCCCCCTGTTGTTCCATTTTTTTCTTTGGGTGGAACTGCTGTGAAACTTCTTCCCATCCAGGCTGAGGTTGGTCCTACAGGACACGCCATGGGAATTGAGGGGAGCCCGTGAGAACCCCTGGAGGTAGAGAGAGAGGAGTGGGTACCAGGCTGGAGAAGGCTATGACAGCTGCTCGCTTCATCCTCATTTTTGGCTCCTGTGCAGTGGGGGATGTCTTGCGCAGAATGTGAGGAACAAAGGAAAAGAGCCACTCCTTCCTCCCCTTCCCAGGTAGCCAGAAAAGGGACTAAGGAAAATAGCATAGTGCAGGTGAAACTTCTCAAAGCCCCCATGCCACCACGGAGGGGGGAGTCACAGCACACAGAGGGTACTGCCTTGGTAACATGTGCTGTGCAGTAAGCCCTGCCCGACGGTGGCCGTGGTGCTCCTATGGACCTTCTCCCTCAACATCCTCACAGCCCTCCTTCTGCAAAAGACCCATCTCAAAGAAGCCAAGTAGCTGCTTAACTAGTAAGTGGCAGAGCCCACGTGATTAACTGTCCTACCAAACTACTTTCCCAATCTGTGTTGCCAAATCTCTCACGGCGTCGGCTTCCGGAAGCATGGCCAGCGGGTGCCACAGACTGGTGCGAACTGGCCCCCAAGAGCTGGGCTAGGTGAGCTAGCGGTGATTCACAGTCCTGCCCAGGAGAATGGTGGAGCCTCCCACATGCTTCTGAAATTGTCATTTCCTTTACCCAGTTTGCGGACCCCCACAAAGTTGAAGGTAAATCAGACTTGCCAGGGAAAGAAAAGAGTCCTGCTTTATCACTGAATGACATTCTAGTCCCAGAGGTGATTTCTTCTCACTTCTGCACATCACCAGTTGACTTTGTCACTCAGTGGTCTGCGGGCTCTTCCAACGATCCAGCCCCAGCTTTCTGTATGGCCTTAAGGTTCTGAACCGAGAGTTGCTATGACTCAGATGGCCTTCTGTTGCCCAAATCATTGGCCTTTCCTTTCCACCTGTTCTATACATTTGGTGATTCACATACTCGGTCTCCTCCAAGTTCGGTTATACTGCAGTTGCATATGCCAAGACTGCATTTCTGACCCTGTGTGGTCAGGAGCCACTCTGTCACAGCTCTCTGACCTGGTTTCCTGGCCAGCTAGGTGGAGGACCGCCAGGCACCTCCCTGCCCAACGTGCTGTCCTGGGCCAGAAATACATTTAATGAAAAAAAAAAAATTAAGGGTGTGGACAAAGAAAACAAAAGCAAGAAAACCTAGTTAATAAAATAATTTTTTTTCAGTAGTCCTGCGGGAGAGGAAAAAAATATTTTCAGACATTGTCTCCTGACAACATGCAGCAAATCAGAAGTTCAATAGATATACGCTGCCAAAAATGCCGTGCAAAAGCTGTCAGGAGCGGAGCCTGAAAATGCTCACGTACCCCAGTGAGTGGCCTGCCCTTGATAAATCACGGTACCCGCTAAATTGCATGCAGGTCCAACACATCTGCAGATAACCAGCGTGCGTTGTTTTGAAGGTCTCCCTCCATTTATGTCACTTGCCAATTTTGGAAATTCATTGGCTTTATTATATGCTGGGCCTATAAGGACCTTCAGGATGACCTCTTATTTGGAGATAAGACACAGAGAGATCGAGAACAGGCAGGAGGGAGGCCCGGGCCATATAACATTTTGCACCCGGGTATCTACCACCATCCCTCACACTTGTCTAGGCTCTGGCCAAGAGATTTGTCAAGGGAAACAGCAAGTTGGTGGCAGCAAGGGGACTAAAACCTGGCTCTGCAGACCCCTGATCCTGTGCTCTTTGCCCACACTGCACATCTTCATGCAACTAGGCAGTCCAGAAAAATAACCCTCAGTAAGACAGGGGATCCTTTCAGAGCCATTATTAAGTATGTTATTTAGGAGATTTGGGGAGGAAGGCAGACTTGAGTACATGACAGAATCAAGGAATGATCCTGCTTTCTGCTCTCTTGAAACCAGATGTTGCAAACTAGATAGACCACAGACTATGTTGCATCCACAGATGAGTTTTTTTTTTTTCAATCTTGTGGAGTATTTTTTTAATTGACATTAGCATATTATGTTTTAAAATTATAAAATTTTTCATAAAAGTACAGGTGCCCAGCTTTGGGTTTCTGGTAAACCAGAAGCATTGGCAACCCTGGGCTGCATTTCTGCACTGTGACAGTTATGGCTAAAGAGCACATTCCCTCCTTAGAAGGGATGCATAG